ATATATATATATATATATATATATATATATATATATATATATATATATATATATATATATATATATATGTATGTATATATATATATATATATATATATATATATATATATATATATATATATATGTATATATATGTTGTCTTTCGTAGTTTTAAATTTCAAATTGTAATTACACTGTTCACTGTAGTACGATATTTTCCTAACTGAACACATACAGACTTTTACCTATAGCGGACCCTAAAGGATGCTCTGCAACGCAGAAAATCGGTTATATTGGCGGCCGTTAAACAAGAAATTGAAAATGCATGTGCAGCCATCCCACTGGACACTTGAACCAACGTTGTCCGAGCAGCAGTTCGCGGTATTAATAAACATATGGAAGCTAAATGCCGCCATTTTGAATATCTTTTCTGGTTGTTGAGTCCAAAGGTTACTTGTATTAATCTCGTAATGTCTGAATAAATTTACTATTACAATATCTATATAAGTTTTTCATTTCCTGAAGTGTGTATACATTTTTGGCACCGTCGTTTATCGACGTATAAGGGTCAAGCCACGCGGTACCTGGGAACCGACAGCCAAATACCTGCACATATGATTTGATTATAGCGGTGAGAAGGATATATATATATATATATATATATATATATATATATATATTTAGGCAGCAATCCTTCTTTCATGCACATTTCATTGAATATTAATAAAAAGAAACACTTAATAATATTAACTATAAACATGGACACAATATTATGACCGTGTTTTGAAAAATGAAAACATAAATACATACACACAACAAATTATTTCTTATTTAACAGTTAAAATATTTCATCATTGAAAATGGGTAAATGTACAGCCGAAAGCGCTCGGATAAAAAGAACATTCCGAGAGTTTTTATATAATTTATCATCTGAAAATAAAAAAAAATTATTAGATTGCATAAGAAATTGTATAAAAAACTAAATAAAAGCACCTTGTCTGTCGTATTCAATGAAATGTATATATATATATATATATATATATATATATATATATATATATATATATATATATATATATAATATGTGGTATGCAGTTCAATTTATATTAATGAATCCTTCATACAAAAACAGATTAGTGATTGTATTCTCGCCATTTATATCATTAACTTCACTAATCTGTTTTTGTATGAATGATTCATGATATATATATATATATATATATATATATATATATATATATATATAGATAGATAGATAGATAGATAGATAGATAGATAGATACTGGCAGCATGGCCCAGCGTTGCCCGTGCTTGATTCAAAAATCGTACCACTCATACAGCAATTGCTATCACTTGACTTAAAATATTTTTGCCCTTCCTTGCCTTTAAATGAGTGCCCTTTGCCGTGCTGATGTTGCTACATGCCTTACTTCTTGCCTATCTCACACTGCGAATTTTTCTAAGCTCTATACTAAACATTAAATCTGTTACGAAAAAAATAACTAAACAAAATGAACACAAAACGATCAGCTTTAAAAAAGGACTCGTAACTGAAAAACCGAATGAAAAAGTATGTTAACAACAAATACTTTTTCACACCCAACCCAGTTCTGCGGAATCAGAATCAACGTTTAGTTTAAGAAAGCGAATGAACCAATTGGAGTAATGTGCCATGCAGATTTAAATTTTTCCCACTTGTGACGAATGCAGCTATCGTTTTTTTTCCTGCTAGCATGCTAGTTAACATTCGTGTCACTCAGCTGTTGGCTCTCACGCTGGCCAATAGAATCTTCCTGCCTATTCGTGGCAGCCAGCTATAGGCTCTCACTCTGGCCAGTACAAAATGTCCGGAAACTACATGAAAAGTTCCGTAAAAGCATGAAAAAATTGATTATTTCCAATATCGATGGGAGTTGGGAAATGCAAAGTCGGTCTTGGCCTTACCGCTAACTTGGAGCATGTGCATGTAAATTTTGGTGTAAATCCGTCGAAAATTGCGGCCGTGCATTCGTTACATACATACACACACACACACATCCCTTATATATATATATATATATATATATATATATATATATATATATATAATAATGAAATGAATTAAGTCCGATAATTATTTCATTATGTTTTCCGTTTATACGTTATTTTTATATATAATTTATCTAAGTAAATGCGCTGTTTTTGATTAAACAGTATTAAATACATTTACCGGCCTGAATGTTTAAGAAATTCCGTAGAATATATGTACTTCTCCGAAAGGAATCGAACCCACAATCCTTAATGAGAACCAACATTTGATCTAAATGTAAATATAAATGAAGAGAGAGGTTGTAATTAATACTGTTTAAGCAAAAAAAGAACATTTAATTAAATGAATTATATCTATAAAATAACTTATAAACGGAATACATATATATATATATATATATATATATATATATATATATAGGTATACACACACATATATATATCAAGGTACATACACACACACGCATATACACACACACACACATATATATATATATATATATATATATATATATATATATATATATATTGATAGATTGTTGTCTAGAAAGGAAGACGCTGGAAGAAAGTTCCAAAGGCGAGAAGAGCGAGAGAAATTAAATGGTTATTAACTTAACCAATTGCTTAACATTATGAACTTAATTATTAACATTTTTAACATTATAAATTTAACATGAATTTGTTATTAAGTTATTATTGTTAACTTATATGAAGAGGCCATACAAATCAGTATGGGGACTCTGCTGAAATGTGCGACATCTCGGAGTCGGGCGTAGATAACCTTGGTGCGTCAGTACAGCGATGAAGCATTTTATAAATGAAACCCACGGACAAGACAAAGAATAGGAAAATATGAATGAAAGTTTATCGTCTGAGAGAAGCGAGAAGGTGTAATACTATAGACACCCCATGTAGAAAGTAAGGAGACGATTTTTATCTCTTCTGTTGCTTATAAAGTGTTTCTGTTTGATAGACCAATGGATAGTTCCTTTTGAAGTTCAGTCTTTTAATCGACGTCCATTTTGTCCGAAAGTGACGTAGAAGTAAAGGTTTGGTTGAAGTGTTTTTTGGTGATTTAGTAGCATAACCACCTGCAATGGGGTCTATCCAGTTACTGATCTATATTAACCATTTGGGGACGGGTCTTTATTTGTAGTTTCAGCACCAAGAAGGGACCCTTTTCGCAGGGCCTCGCTTGAATACAAAAATTTCCTAGCATCGGTTGTCAATATAACGAAACTCAGGATTTTAAGTTTAATTTTATAATTAAATTTACAACTTTAGTTTTAATCTCGAAACAGAAATTTCTGTGTTGCGATGGAATCATATTTTTTAAAAATAAAATATTTATAATATTACGCTGCACTATTTGCATCGAGCACTGTTTTTTTTAATAAAAATAATTGCTAAGAACCACGGATTATAAATCTTACTGTTCTTTCTTATTATTTTAATATATATATATATATATATATATATATATATATATATATATATATATAATTATTTATTTAAAAATATGATTCCAAATCGCAAATAAATAAATCTCCATAGACATGCAAACTAGACGAGGGTTAATACATCTTCCGTTTCAAATTTAGACACCCCCACCTTTCACTGACTTGACATCTACGAAAGTAACTCTATACTAATACTTATTATTAACACCCAACACCCGCCTACCCAACTTAAACAATTCGCCCTAGCTGTTACCATGGAAATTTTGATTTCAATTTTTAAAACACGTAAATTTCAGAAACACGTTATTCCAAAAAAAAATTTCGCTTGAAGATGGAACAGAGCTTATTTTAACTCAATTTAATTTAAATAATTTAAATGATTTAAATAATTATATTGAAGTTTTCGGCTCTTGTTTTGAAACATGGGACTTCTTATGTCGCGATTTGGAATCATATTTTTAAATAAATAATTATATTTATGCTCTACTTTTGTATCGAGCACTATTTTTTAAAAATAATAACTAAAATACTAAGGGACTTTGGATTATTTACCTAACCAGTTCCTTCCTATTTTCTTTATATTTTCACATATATATATATATATATATATATATATATTGATGCATGTTTCCCTAAATAATATAGACAAGTTGTGTCGATTTATTTTAAGTAAGTTCTTTCATATTGCCTGATAAGCTTAATAAGATTAGCATTGAAAGACGAAAGAAAATCACTATATTGATACATGTTTAAATGCGATCTAAGCTTTCGGCTGACATAAGCCATTATCGAAGATGACAATTACATTTCAATATATCAAACAATACACGGATGAAACAATAATGATAGTCTGTTTTTGTTGCATGAAAAATTTCAAAGCAACGACAAATTCGTGTATACGAGACGCAGAAGCGAAAATCGCATCGCAGCTCGTTACGTCACACATGACCACGCGAGAGTGAAAACGAGAAGTATTTAAGTATAGGAAGCTGTTGGTATAAACCAATGGCTTCTGTTATTAATTATAGGCATGTAAAAATATTTGAGGAGATTCCGTAGTTTATTTTGCTCAGGTTAGGTTTCAACTGTTTTATGTTTGGGTAACATTTGAAACTTAACCTGAACAAAACAGACAACGAAATCTCCACAAATATAAATCTTACTGTTCTTTCTTATTATTTTGATATATATATATATATATATATATATATATATATATATATATATATATAAAGAAACTAAATATTAGGTTAGTGCAAAAATAATGACGTAAGAATGTCGTTTTTTGACGTTAAAAAATACGTCAAAAAACGATATTATTACGTCATTATTCTTGCACCAACCTAATAACTGGTGGAGATTGAAAATGCAACCCCTTCCAACACAAATTCTGACATAAAAAAAAAAAATTAGGTAAAAGAAAAGAAAATCAGAAACAATCAACTATAAAATAAAAAAAAATCATTATGAAATTCGACAGACGGAATGTAGATTCATAATGGCCGACTACTTTCGTAAGTTATATGAACAGACTGGGTATTTGGTGAAAAGTATTCGGACCAATACATTTCGAACATCGGCATTTCCACAAAGAAATACCTTTTCAGTACCTCTACGTAAATACAAACAGATACAGATAGATAGATAAATGTAAGGCTGAGATAGATAGATAGATAGATAGATGCAAGACTGTGATAGATAGATAGATAGATAGATAGATAGATAGATACGATTAAATGTTAATTTTTATAAGCACTGTTATTAGTCTCGACGGAAATCTTTATATACGCTTATCACTTATTTTCTTACAAACTATATAATAATTATCTATACGTATAATGCAAATGAATTTGTACACAGGTTATATACATACATATATCTATATATATCTATATATATATATGTGTGTGTGTGTGTGTGTGTGTTTGTGTGTGTGTGCGCATGTGGTATTATTATTATTATTTCAAACTTTATCTTAAGTGCATATCCACTATAATAACATTTTAAGCAATAAAATTGTCGGATTTAAAATAAAATGCATTAATTCATTAGAAATTACTTTGTTTACGTTCCGGACGCAAAACTGGGTAAATATGAGCTTTTCAAGAAAAAATATCTGTGTACGAATATGTGCTTTCCTTAAAATGTAAAATAGGGTATTACTGGATTGTGACGCCCTCTGCAGGCGAATGGTATAGTACGCCAAATACAACATTTTTTTTCTACAAATGAGAACGTAAGTTCGATCTCTGCCGGCGATCTAGCAGTATACTTAAATTCAGGCGGTTACGGCATCAAGAATGAGTGCTCAATTCAGAGAACAATTGCCATGAAAATATTTATAGAAAAGACGGAGTGAAGCAACTTCACGGCCCAAAAGATTATATGAACAAAAAAGGGACATTTTACAAAATAATGCATTAAACGCATCAGTTGCTCACTGTAACGAGACTGACCATAAAGAATGATACTCTGATCAAAGGAGAAACCAATTGCCTGAGACGAAAATGTCTAGTGTGGATATCTAATAAGGAAATTGATGGAAGTAAAAAGAAAAAGAAACTAAATAAAATTAAGTAGATTGTATACCCATACCCCTCCCACACAACTTAATTTTAAATTCCCAGCGTTCCTTGTTCCTGCGCCTGTGTATCGCATCTACGTAACAAATTTACCTCGATGAAGTCCTAAAAGGTGAAACACGTCACACACAACGCAATCTTCAGATGCCGAGTTACGACTGGACGTTACATACAACGCAATCCTCAGATGCCGAGTTACGACTGGACGTTACATACAACGCAATCTTCAGATGCCGAGTTACGACTGGACGTTACATACAACGCCAATCTTCAGATACCGAGTTACAACTGGACGTTACACACAACGCAATCTTCAGATGCCTAGTTACGACTGGACGTTACATACAATGCAATCTTCAGACGCCTAGTTACAACTGGACGTTACACTAAAACGCAATCTTCAGATGCCGAGTTACGACTGGACGTTACACACAACACAATCTTCAGATACCGAGTTACGACTGGACGTTACATACAACGCAATCTTCTGGAGGAAACAGAGCCTTGTGGACACACAGTTCAATAGCGAAATGCAAAAGTCTGTTTTATGCACTATACAAAAGCTATAGAATAACCGATTTCCAGTCCGTATTCAGATTCTATGAGGTAACCATTAAAACAATTTAAACCAACCGTTCCCACGTCCTGGATGAGACGATAAAAATACATCCGCGTCCTTGATAAGACGATAAACTCCGCCCAACAGCAATGCCTCTGATCAGGATGTTCTGAGGATCGTGGAACCACATCTTAACTGCTGGTGTTTCCAGATCCACCCTGACCAGGGGTGGTAGCACCTGTTAGGGTCCCAGCTATGGGCAAATAGTTAACCCCCAAACTGGGGTCAAAACATAAATGAAAGAGTAAAAATAGGTTTTACTACCAGCAATAATTTTTTGTGGCAAAATTATTCCCAGCAATACATTATTACCAGCAATACATTTTTGAAGAAAATAAATATTACCAGCAATGCATTTTGGAGGAAAGAATATTACTAGCAATACATATTTGTAAATAATTATTACCAGCAATACATTTTTTAATGAAAAAAAATATTGCCAGAAATATATTTTTTGAAAAAATATTACCAGTAATAAAAATCTTGTTGGCTTTAAATAACCCATTGAGGTTGATATACCGTAAAAAAAACAAAGCAAACTATATCTACCGTCCCCGCCTATTAGAATAACACAGATACAAAAAAAAAACGAAAATAACTGACGTTGCTATTCATAATATTCAAGGGACGAAAATATATATAAATAATCAAGCTGCTATCCAACACACATGACCTGAAGTTTGCGTTAAATTTACCCGTTTCATAATACACTGTGTGGCTGAAATTACCACCTCCATTTTAAACTGTCAGCTCTATGGTTCTAATGAAATTAAGCAAGTGACAATGGTGTCTTCATCTAGTTAATGTCTTACCATTTTTTAAATTTGAACTGGTGCATAACGTGCATTTACTATTGAAACTTTTTTTTAAGACTGGTGAATCTGTAATTGCCACATAGAGAGTTTTTCGGTCTCATTTCATGTTACGTCTGAATGATGCGGGTCAGCATGGAAAATCAATACGGTTATAGGCTGAACATTTCAGGGCCACAGGATCAGCACTTAAAAGAAAACCAACAGGAAGTGCTTAAAATTCAGGCTGATGCAAAAATTTAGAAAAAGTTTCTTAAGTTAACAGTTGTATTTTATTTTATTTTGTTAGATCAATATGTTTAAATAATTTTGTTTGATCTATGTTTAAATAATTTTGTTACATCTATATATTTAAATAATTTTGTTAGATCTATATGTTTAAATAATTTTCTTAGATCTATATGTTTAAATAATTTTGTTAGATCTATATATTTAAATAATTTTGTTAGATCTATATGTTTAAATAATTTTGTTAGATTTATATATTTAAATAATTTTGTTAGATTTATATATTTAAATAATTTTGTTAGATCTATATGTCTAAATAATTTTGTTAGATCTATAGGTTTAAATAATTTTGTTAGATCTATATGTTTAAATAATTTTGTTAGATCTATAGGTTTAAATAATTTTGTTAGATCTATATATTTAAATAATTTTGTTAGATCTATATATTTAAATAATTTTGTTAGATCTATATATTTAAATAATTTTGTTACATTTATATGTTTAAATAATTTTGCTAGATTATATGTTTAAATAATTTTGTTAGATCTATGTGTTTAACTAATTTTGTTAGATCTATATATTTAAATAATTTTGTTAGATCTATATATTTAAATAATTTTGTTAGATCTATATGCTTAAATAATTTTGTTTGATCTATATGTTTTAATAGTTATGTTAGATCTATATTTAACCTTTTAATTGGTTTCTTAAAAGGCTTGTTAATTTACCTGTTTTATAATACAAAGTGTGGCTGAAATACTTCCCCCATTTTAAACTATCATCTGTGTTTTTGTGCTAATGAACTTAAGCAAGTGACAATGGTGTCTTCATCTAGCTAACGTCTTACCATTTTTTTAGTTACCATTATAGTTTAGACTGGTGCAAAACGTACGTTTACTATTGAAACAGAGAGTTTTTTCAGGCTCATTTCATGTTCCATCTGAATGATGCTGGTCCGGATGGAAAATCCATACTGTTATGGGTTCAACATTTCAGGGCCGCTGGTTCAACATTTAAAAGTAGGCCAACTGGAAGCGCTTGGAATTCCAGGCGATGAAAACATTTCGAAATGGTCTACAACAGTTTATGGCAAATAAAAGCTACCGTGTGGAGGATGTCATTTTAAAAACCAAATGAATAACTGTAGGCCATTGTTTAATCAACAGTGAAATAATATTTATTTAAAATTTATATCAATCCTTCATGAGACAGTTGCCACTCGCTGTTGAACTCTATGAACCCCACTGCCTGTATCTACATACTGTTTATCTCGTATATTGAACACTTTTGAGCTATAAATATAGCTAAATTAATACCTTATTTTACCATATTCTATAAATAGAGGGTGCGGCAGAAATACCTCCCACATTTTAAAGGCTGACAGAAAGACTAATGTAACGACTATTAAGAGATTATTTCACTGTTGTTTTAAAACAAAGTGCTATAGATTTTAATCATTTCATTTCGAAAATTGCATCCACCAGATAATTAACCTCTATTCGCCATACACTTTTGTGGACGATTTCGAAAGTTTTCTATCACCCGGAAGCTTGACTGCTTCGAGGTCTTTTGGGTGGCTTTCTTTTAAGCACTGAACCTGTGTCTCTGAAAAGTTCAACTCATAGCCGTAACATGAAGTGAATGGCTTTCTATGTCGCAATTACAGATTCACCTGTCTTAAAAAATAACGTTTAAAAAAAAACAAAAAACGGCGTGATGTAAATCGGTCCAAGCCATGATGGTACCCGAGAAGAATTTTATGACATTAGGTAGATGAAGACACTATTGCTACATGCCTAAGTGTACTAGCACCAGACAGGTGATGGTTTTAAACGTGGGCGATATTTCTGTTGCATCTCTCTCTCTCTCTCTCTCTCTCTCTATATATATATATATATATATATATATATATATATATATATATATATATATATATATTTTTCATTAAAACGACAGAAAAGGTAATACGGTTAAGCTTTTTATTTAATTTTTCTTGTGTCCGAACAAGAAATTTCTTTTCTGGACAAAGGGTGTGTAAGAACTGTCCAAATGTTTTATATTTCCGAGCGCTTTCGGCTATACCTTTTAGCCATTATCAAGGATGATTCGATTTTTCAACTTAATTAAGTGTGTGCGTTATGTGTATGCCTTAGTGTGTCGTAGGGATGTTTTAATATTAACTGCATCTACCTGCAAAAAAAAAGACTAAAAATAATGGAAACTTTAATAATAAAAAAAGAAAAAGCCAACTCTTAACAATATTAACTACGAACAAAGCCACAATGTGCTAACCGTATTCGGAAATTAAAAACATCAGCTTAACTGTAGTACCTTGTCTGTCGTTTTTAATGAAACATGCATAAAGGAAGGATTGCAGCCTAAATATACAACTATATATATATATATATATATATATATATAGCTCATCAGTGTGGCTAGACGTCCGGT